TAGTATAAGAAATAATATTTTGGCAGAGTGGTGGTCTTTCCATAGTTATGTGCATTTTGATTTACTATATTTAAAGCATGTTTTTATTATACCTTGCACTTAATTGTTCTAATTAATTTACGCCTATAAAGCCTCTTGAATTGGCACATACTATATTTTAAGGAAAGTATTAGAAAGTATAACACTGTTAACCCAAAGCTCCTTCTCTAGAGTTAAAGACAGAGTGAAAGATTTTGGCTGGAGATCTGAGATTTAAATTTAAGAAGTGTGTGTGTGTGTTAAAGAGAGAGAAATTGAGAGGATGAATTTTTATACACAGGAGTGGGGGGAAAAAATCACTTAGGAGAAAGGGTGTATACAGAAAAACAAAGAGGGCCAGGGAAGCTCTGGAGTTTTCCAGTATGTTTACGGGTCTAGTCAAGGAGAAGGAGCCAGTGAAGGTTACGGAGAAGCAGCTGCTTCTTGAGTGTGAAGAGAAAGACTAGCTTAACTAAGAAGGATGCATTTCAAGGAGAGCAGAATTGTGTTCAGTGCTGCTGAGGAAGGGACCAGGCAAGGTGGAGACATAGACTTGGCCTCAGCGAGACAGTGCTCTTTGACCACCTCAATGAGCTCTGACTGGAGTAATCAGACGGAAGCCTGGTTAGAATGAGGTGTGGAGCAGGTAGAAGATAAGAAAAATGGAGACAACAGTATAATGACTCTTCTGAGGACTTTTTGTTGTAAAGAGAGATGGGGAGGTGACTGGAGAAAGGTGTGAAGCCAAAAAGGTGTTATTTTTAGACAGGTGATTTTGAGCCATGCTCATATCATCTCAAAGAGAGTGATTCTCTTATGATTCTGTGCTTGACACCAGTGACCACTTTAAGTCTCTTAAAATGTGCTCATCCTTAATTTCTATGACACTTATAGTCATAGAAATCCTTAATTTCTATGGCAGTTTCTATAACACTTGTTCTCTTCCTGCTTGTGCTGGTTCCTTCTCAGTCTCTTTGCTCAATCATCTCCTCAACCCTGGATGGCTGCCATGTATAACTGCGCAGGGTGTAGAACCTTAGAGGGCACAGCTGACATCACCCACCATGTGAATGGTGTCCCCTGAATCATGCCATGCACACCCAGCCGAGTTCTGTGTGCTGACACTAATACCAGCCCGAGAACACAATTTCCATTTGAGGCACACAGAAGCATTACAGAAACATAAGGTAGTAGAAGTATGGTTAGCTAATACTAAACCTAAACCACAATAGCAATCACTTCATATTGGCAAAGGAAAACATGGATCTTGAGAGTCAATAGGAAATGTTGGAAATTTGAAAAATTTCCATCTCCACTAAAGTCATTGTCAAAAAGGGAAAAAAAATAGCTTTAGAAAAAGTCCAAAACAGCTTTCCCTCTCCATTTAGTCTCCATTTCAAAAAAAGCAAACTGAGGTATAGTCGATTTCTATACTGAGAGTCAGATAGCAAGTCGTGGAGAAGGCACTGCAAATCACCAACCTACCCTACCTGTTTAAAACTTAGGAAGCAACAGCTGAAATCAACATATATCAGAGATAGAAAGAAAAAGTCTCTATTTAACTAAATTAACTACAACTTGACTAAATGAGATCATTGAAAAATAGAATTATCTGTTTTTAATATCCCCCAGACAGGAAACAACCCAAATGTTTATCAAACAAGTGAACACATAGTGTATGGAACTGATTGTTTTCAGTGCAATTCCCTACTATTAGTGGAATACTATTCCGGAAAAAAAAAAAAAAAAAAGAATGAGCTACTGATATACTACAACATGGGTGAATCTCAAAGCAATTATCCCAAGTGAAAAAAGTCAGACAAAAAATTCTACTATATGATTATATTTATATAAAATTTTAGAAATTACAAAGCAGGCCAGAGCTTTCCTGAGTTGATGGAAAGGGCAAAAGAAGGAATCACCAAGGGTAAAAGTAAGCTTTCAGTGTGATGGATATGTCCATTATCTCGACTGTGGGAGTGATTTCATGGGTGTAGACATATGTCAAAACTTATCAAATTGTATACTTTAAATATATGCAATTTTACTGTATGCCAGTTATACCTCAGTAAAGCTCTGAAAAAAAATGAAAAAAGGAAGCTTTGTTTCTGAATGTCTGAAATTGATTTATGTAGCCTTTGATCTGATATTAGAAAGTTAAAGTAAAGCAAAGGTAAACATTTTGCAGGATAACAGTGAAAATGTCATTCAGATGTTACTACAAGATTCATAAAACCAAGTGCCATTTAAAAAATGCAAACAAGTTCTTTCACATTCTGGCTACATGTACAATTCTACCTTTAAAGGAAAGCATATATGTCACACTTTCAGAATCAACAAAGCAGTATTTGATTTATTTTACCTCTGTGACTTCTTGAACTAGCTTGAGTTCAGAAGTTCATCGCCTCGGCATAGGTAACAAAAACTGGTTCCAAATTCATCTTTGGCAACATTTGTGAACAGTGTCTTTGCGATTTTTATGGCTGTGTCAACTAGCTTATCTCTGATTAAGAGTCACGCTGCATTTCCCACAATAGATAAACACTGTCCAACAGTCATTGCCTTTGTTTCATAAATGTTTAAGGAATGGTTGAAGCAGAGACTACCAAGAGCAAGCAGCAGCAACTCCTTGGCTACCTCTATTTACTCCCTTTGTCTCCCGCTCCCTAATACACCTGTGTACCCTGTACAAACACCAACAGTTCTTGTTGACTGACACTGATGGACTTAATTAACTTACACATTTGACTTAACCAAAAAACAACAACAACAAGAGAACCAACATGTTACAATACCGTGAGATCATTGGGTAGACACACTACACGTGATCCCCCGTACTCAGGGATTTAAACTGCTCCTGAGCAAACATACTTCATAAATTGAGAACTGGCAGGCACCCAGGGAGTGGTTAAGGTCTGTGTTTATTGCTGAACTTAGGCACAGCAGGCTCAACTGATTGGTGGTGTTCTGGGAATAGTTAGCTGGGTGGGGATGAACACAACTCAACAGAATAATTTAGCACTATTAGCATGACATTTGATATTAAACACAGCATTACAGTAACGTGATGGTTGAACAGGGTACACAGGTGTATTAGGGGTGTGAGATAAAGGGAGTAAATAGAGGTAGCCAAGGAGTTGCTGTTGCTTGCTCTTGGTAGTCCCTGCTTCAACCATTCCTTAAACATTTGTGAAACAAAGGTAATGCATCTTGACTCAGAAAAATCACAAATTTAAAAAAGCATGAACACAAGTTAACCCAAATTAGTTAAAAGCTGAAATAAAAAAGATACTCTAGTTAAGTGTGACTCTTGATTAGAAAATTAACCATGGTGAGAAAAAATAAGCTTGGTAGCCATAGTTACTGTAGCTGGTCCCAAGTCTAGTCTCTCATTGCCCAAAAACCAAACATGAGAGCTGAGAGTAGATCGAAGGAAAAAATAGGCTTTATTCAAGAGCCGGTGACCTGAAGAGTTGGAGGACTAAAGTTGCGAAGATCACCCCAGATTTTCAGATGGGTGAGAAGGTGCTTAAAAGGACTTGACGTGGGAAAGGTGCACGGGGTGGCACAGGGTCCAGGTCGGCAGGTCTTGCTCTGATGGCTTGAGTGATAGTCCTCCTGGGACAGATATCCTGGATATCTGGTTCTTGTGATCCCAGCTGCAGTCAGGTCATGGACGAACCGTCTCATGACTCTCTAAGCAGGAAGGTCCCACAGTTATGACTCCATTGCTAGCCTGGTTAAGATTTGCCTCTGGAATTCTTAAGCAAGCATATCATTAGATAAACATGCATTATGGAAGGCAAGGGAGGAAGAAAAAAGAAAGGAGAGACAGAAAACCTTGGGTTTTTTTTAAGTGTACATTAGTACACCAAAATTGATTTTTTTCTTGTTATTTTGTTTATTTTTGAAGGACTGAACTAGGCGGGAGTTAGGAGAGAAAAGATACTACACATACATGTTATAATGCTACTTTTTCTCTCCAGGCCATGAATTTAATCAGTTACTGCTGTGCATATGTGGAAAATTTGAAAATTCTGTAATTAATTGAAATCCATTGTTAATTGCATAATTATGGAAGGAGATAAAATAGGACCATACATTTTTATTTCTGTCATCTTTTGCTGTCATAGAGCAAGAAGATCTAGTCATCCACTAAAGGTCAAAATCAAAAGAAATTAGCTTTAATTATCTGAAACTTTTAGAGGTATCATTTGAGACAGATTGGTGACAGAAAACTGTCTACTCATAGTTAAGACTAATAACCTCCAAAACTTTCAAGCAATTCAAATTCTCTCAGCCATTTGGAAGGCTTAGAAATGTAGAATATATGCTTTTTAAAACAGACTTAAACACTGAAAATTAAATGGTGGTTTACTGGCTTTAAAGAAGATTTTCTGGCCTGCTGTGGTGGCTCACACCTGTAAACCTAGCACTTTAGGAGGCCAAGGTGGCAGGATTTCTTGAGCCCAGGAGTTTGAGACCAGCCTGAGTAACCTAGCAAAAATAAATTGAAAAATTAGCCGGGCGTGGTGGCACACACCTGTTGTCCCAGCTATTTAGGAGGTTGAGATGGGAGAATTGCCTGAGACCAGGAGGTCAAGACTGTGGTGAACCATGATCGTGCCATTGCACTCCAGCCTAGGTAACAGAGTAAGACCTCAACTCAAAAAAAAAAATTAAAAGATTTTCTGTGTGTTTTAGATAACATTTACTTTCCTTGACTTTCCAGAAAGCCAGGGAGGCAAAAAAAAAAAACCTTTCATTTCACTCTTGGCTGTATCTGCTGGAGAGTGGAGATCATGGAGGTAGTAAACAATGCTAAAGCTATTGAGTTTACAAAGTTAACTGGTTTATTTTAGTCTATCACTCATAATTATATTAAGTGGAAGTCACCATCAAATATTCATTTGCATTGCCATTATGGAGTACAGCCTGCCTAGTTTTTTAATCCAATCATTTAAATTTTCTGTTTGTTTCAGGACTCATGCCTGTAGCGCAGCAGCCTGTTTACTGTGCTTCAAAGCACGGAATTGTTGGATTCACGCGCTCAGCAGCGGTAAGGCCGTGACCACCACATTCTCTCTTTTGCACATAGGAAGGGGAACCTCCAGAAAAACCCAGAATTATCGTAGGGAGGGCGACCCCTTGCAATATAGGCTTCCCTCACTAGATAAGTGTTCTAGGAACCCATCTAGGATGGCATCAGCGTACCATCTAGTGTTGTCGTGAGAGTCTATGTTCGACTTAAGCGAATTATTTTGTCGTTGAGATTCTTTCAACGTTTGTCCATTTCACGATGGGTGATTTATGAGCCCATCTGCCCACACCACACTGAGTGTTCAGCAGTTTTTGATTAAAAAATGGCATCACCCTGGTGTCCCACCCTCCCTATTCACCTGATCTCCCCCCGCCCCCCGCGCTCCGTATTTTCTTTTGTTGTTTCCCTGGATGAAAAACATCCTCAAAGGGAACGTTTGTTAATGTGGAAGAGGTGAAACAAAATACAGGCCCTGAATGCCATCAAAATGAACGAGTTCAACAACTGATTTTATCAGTGGAAAAAGCATCTCAATAGTGTATTGCATAAAACAGAGAGTACTTTGAAGGGGACTGAAATTTAAACACGTAAGAATAAATACACAATTTGTTATAAATAAATTCCGGTTTGGGGGGGGTCCCCTTTCATATATGAAATGCAAATTCTATAAAAGGGGGAGGAACAAATTGAGAATTCAATGCATTTGGATAAAAGGTAGAAAAATATTATACTTCAGTCTTTATTATTAAAAAGTAGTTTTCAGATCACATAGACTGATGAAAGAACAGATCATTTTTCAATGAAGTAGATTCTAAATACAGATGTGCTGTTGAAAAATATGGTAAGGATAAATCATGGGGAGATGCTAGTTATTTTTTAAATTGACTCTAAAATAAACATTGTGAACTTCAGTTTTTCTTCAGTAGAATACACAGCAGGCCCCAGGCATTACTTGTCCCTGGAGAAGCCATGGACCTGAGTGAGAAGGAGGGAGAACCAGCTACTTGTTTGATAGAATGGCCAAGGGCATTGTCTCCATGGAGGCCTTGAGCAAAAGGTGTACAGAGCTTGGGAAGATGTTTTAGACCTAGTTGGCCACATGCATTGATAGCATGGGCTGAGAGTGCTGGCCTTTCTGTAACTCACAAAAGAGAGGCTAGGATAGAGCCTGGCAAGCCAGGAGAAATGAGATGAGGTATCACCGGAGATACCAGCGGGAACCAGACCAAAAGGGGATGATCCAAGCTTGGGTTTTATTCTGAGTACAGCCATTGATGGATCTCTTATATACAGCAGCGATAAGATCATATTTCTTGCCAGGTGCAGTGGCTCACTCCTATAATTCCAGCACTTCGGGAGGCCAGGCAGGAGACTCGCTTGAGCCCAGAAGTTGAATACCAATCTGGACAACATAGCGAGACCTCATCTCTACAAAAATTTGGCAGGCTTGGTAGTGCACCTGTTGTCCCAGCTACTCAGAAGCTGAGGCAGGAGGATTGCTTGAGCCCAGGAGGTCAAGGCTGCAGTGAGCTGTGATCCTGCCACTGCACTCTAGCCTGGGTGACAGAGAGAGACCCTGACTCAAAGAGAAAATTATATTTCCATTTTAATATGACCATTCTGCCTGCTCTTTGGAAAATATATTACAAAGGACAAGTATAGAAAGGAAAGAATGGGCGGGGGACGGTGGGCGGGGGAGGGTCTGTCTCTAGGTGGCTCATTTAGACAAGACAAGGAAATAGGCCAGAAAGATGAAAGGAAAAATACTAACAATAGAGGAAATGCTGGGAGACAGAGAAAACAGGTGTGCAAATGTTAAATGTTCAGTTATAAAGGAAGATAAGCCATTCTCACACTCCTAATTTGAATTGATCAGAAGTTATTACCTAATTCACAAAGACTTAATTTCAAGACTTAAACTTTTTATGAACACATAGAGCTCTAAAGCCAGGTAAATCTTAAAGACCAGAAATGTTGCATTTAAAACTACAAGAGTGGAAACTTGTAGTCAATCCTCATTATTCACAGCAGTTATGTCTGTGAAGTCACTTGCAGACACTGAAATAGTGACTGCTGAACTCTTGCTTCCAGGGGAAATACAGGGCTAAGTTCCTGAAAGCCTATAATACTCAGTGATGTATCACAGAAACAAAGAACTGAGTAACATATGTTCTCACTCATAAGCAGATCCTGAACATTTACCATAATACTATAAGAAAGGGATTGGCAGCAGTGGGAAATTGCCAAGGAAGGGAGGGGGCACACTTCCTCAATACCTGATCTCAAACCAGGTGAACTGGGGACCAAAGGGAGGCCCAAACTTTACCTGTATGATGAATACTTGTATACCTAATCCTGAATTGTACCCCACATCTTTAAATTAAAGAAATTAACATATATGTTAAGTGTGCCTTCAAGGTAACAGTTGACCTATGAAAGATACAAGCTAGAATCCAATGCTTGCTGGAAGAATTCTGCTTAGTCAAGTAGAACAGATCTTCTACCCTTGCAAATAAGTATCTGAGGCCCAATGATGATAATTATTTTTTGCATGCTCTCTGTGTGTTTTTCCTTCAAGGGGAAAAAATGAAAATAAAGATTCCTTATTTATTGCATCGTATGAGCTCTGAGCTCATGGTTAAAGCACTTATAATCCATGCCTGATCAAAGCTTTTCTAACACAAGTATTTTCTATAAGGCACATGTATCTCCATACAACCCTCTAACACTTAGAAGCACTACACAGCGCTCCTGCACTACATTTGGGGGCCATTTTAAACAGCAAAAGCACCCACAAAAAAAGCACAAAAATTAGAGAAACATGGCAAGGCAGAGTGTGGTCTTGTTTGACTTCAGCAGGAACATGCACGTGAGTGACTTACATTGACTTACTGCTCTGCATGTGTCCACAAATGACAAGTTTTGATGTCTGGGATTATGAATACATTTTAGTTCGTAAGCACATTTGCATATATGTAATATATGTCATCTGTGAATAATGAGGATTGACTGTATTTTTTTTACAACTAGTTCAAATAAAATCAATAGGTTGCAAATTAAGCAAAAGAATATTAGTCTAAAAATACTTAAATTGTCTTCTAGATAGTGAAGATTATTAACAGCATATTTAGAATCAAAGTCCTAAAAATTCTCACTAAAATTGTTTTTTTTTCAGCTAGTATATTTTTCTTATACTCATACAACAACACTCTTTGAAAGGAAACTTGGGATATTAGTTCTGAGTTTCAGCTGTTTCGCTTCAGTCCCTGCAGAGTTCAGTAGATAAGAGGCACTCGGGTAATTGTTGCCAAGAATTGTCCAGGAATTCTGATTCTTAAAAAAGTTAATTAGGTGAGGTTTTCAAGAATTAGTTTAACATTTTAGGCATGTGTTATTTTACCATCTTTCTGCTTAATACTCTTTCTATCTTTAGGAGATATCTGGTTAGTATTTTCTACCTCAATCTTTTAAGAGGCTGTACTTATCAGTTGTCCTGCACTATATGTTTACAAAATTGCTGAAACCTGCAACCTTCTACTCTGCAGCTGGCTGCTAATCTTATGAACAGCGGCGTGAGACTAAATGCCATTTGCCCAGGATTTGTTAACACGCCCATTTTGGAATCCATTGAAAAAGAAGAAAACATGGGACAATATATAGAATATAAGGATCATATCAAGGATATGATGAAATACTATGGAATTTTGGAGTAAGTAATCTTCTTTTAGATGATAGAGCAAGGTACTATTTAGACAAACAAAAAAAACTGAAATCTAAGCTTTTAAATTTGACAAATAAATGTAAACTTCAAAGTTTGGGTTTGGGAAGCTCTTTGGATGAAAATGTTCTTCCTGGGTATCTGAATAGGATGTAATTTTCACATTATGAATTTTGCTTTGAAATATATACAATGATTCATTAATACTGTAAGCCATATCAAATTTTTTTAAGTTGATATTTAGTCACTTTTGAAAACAGTTGTACCTTAGCTACCTAAATGTCAAGCAATATTCAAATATACTCTGTGAAACAGTATATAGTCATATAACTTCAATCATTTTCATAAGAAACGGTTGATCAGCTCTGTCTCTCTCTCTGTCTCTCTGTCTCTCTCTCTGTCTCTCTCTCTCTCTCGTGTGTGTGTGTGTGTGTGTGTGTGTGTGTGAATTGTGTCTGAGTTAGAAGAGTTGAGGTTTCCCAGCACTGAGTCATAGCTGTCATCTTGAAGGACCCAGACCTATGATCAAATCTTGACTCTACCACTGACCATGAACTTATACAACAAACCTCTAAGTGCTCTAATTTTCTCATTCATAAAATGGAAAAAGTATTAAAAACATACTTAAGCACTTTTGAAAGACTTAAGTAAAATGATACATGTGAGGTACTTAAAACAGCAACTGATAAAAAAATAAGATGTTCAAAAATGCTATCTATAATTAATCATATTTCTACCTTAATTACATTTCTATCTGGTAAATCTAAGATATGATAAAGATGAGAAAAAGACTATTTTCTCAGTGTAAATAATGAACATAAATCCCTCCTGCCAAAATGAAAAGGTTAGGCATGAAAATTACCACTGAATTTATCAAATAATTTAGCTAATATCTAATTTAATAAAAATTGGAAGTAGCAATAGCTTAATGACATGCATTTTCCTATTATACTTTAAACATATAATAGGAAAATGCATGTCATTAAGCTATTCAGTTATAATAGGATAACTGAAGTGATAACATGTCTCTTTTTTTAATTTCAAAAAACTAACAGTTCGTTTTTTTTTTAGCCCATCGATGATTGCCAGTGGATTAATAACACTCATTGAAGATGATGCCTTAAATGGTGCTATTATGAAGATCACAACTTCTAAGGGAATTCATTTTCAAGACTATGATACAACTCCATTTCATAAAACTCAATGAATGGATTTATATTGACCATAACTGAAAATAAGTACAAATGACTTACATTCAGACCATATCTGCATTTGAATAGAGCTTTTCTTAATGAAATAATATAGTCTGAAGCTTTCCTTCATGCACTGGTGTTAATTCTTCTAAGTTTCTAATTAAGCATATGGATAAAAAAATTATGAACTATCAAAAATATGATGTGGACCGAAGCTAGATTGTGAACTCTGTAGTGTAAAAAATGATCAAAACAAAGGATATTCAAAGAATATTCTGCCTTTCAAAAAGTATATTTAAATCTGTGGTTCATAAATATTAATGTTTTTCAGAACATCACTTTAAAGGATATACTTGAATTGTTATTTAAATCAAACCAGATGTAAAAAACTCACTTTGTTTTATGCTCATACTTTAAAAGAGGGAAGCTACTTAACAATGCTTACTTGCCGTCATTTAGCTGGACATTCCAGCTCTTTAAAGAGCTCTTTAAAGTGGCATGTTTGGGGGCCAAGAGAAAAGGGGGAAACTGCTATGTGAATCAATCCCAAATGAAAAACCTGATGTATGAAAAATGACAGCAAGTAATTGATTGCAACTATGGATTCACAGTTCAGTCTTCCATCTGGGAAAAACATTGTTCCCTTATTGCATGTTTTAAGAACCTCAATTGACCCAAAAAAACCCTCAGGAATTAAACATATAACAGTTAAAGCAATAAAGGATAGTTTGTACTACAAAATTTTATATTTTAAGATATACTAACCAAGAAAAAATGCAAATGTAATTTTTTTAGATCACTTTTTTGTTGACTTGTATCAATTTCAAAAGTGCCTACCTTTCAATAAAACTCTTTTATTCTAATCTTCCATACATTACTTAGTCTTCTGTGTATGACTGTTGAGAAGGTGATACAAATTTTGCCACAGCCATAACTGTAAATGTTTTTGTGCATACACCAAAATTTGTAATAACACAAAGGTAAAAACAGCCGTGATATCTTCCCCTGTTTGCCGTCAGGTATCTCAAGATAGGATCATTAAGCTGCACCTGATTTGGGGTACACTCTTTACAAGCAGTAATTAATTCTAATAACAGTGAAAGTACAAGATTTGCAGATCAATCCTTTCCTCAAAGAAATACTGTTTAGGTGACTCACTCTGTCTGCTAACTGCAGACCTTTCAGCTTAGAACAAAATCCATCCATGTGAGATGGTAAGGATTTCCTAGAGTTACTAGAGTGTCATTGTACCTTGCTCTGTTTTAATTATGTCGAAGTAAACTATTGGAGTAATTTGAGTATCAGTAACTGTAGTCTAGGGTTCCACATGCTGTATTTGCCAATAAATGGACACAGTGAACAGGTGAGAAATATATTGTAATTAGTCACATATGTGTTCATACGTTCTGGCAATGAATGACCAATCAGTGACTGATACAGATACGTGCAGTATCACTTACTTTACTTATTTTCCCATTACAGCGTAAAGCTATAGCTTAAGCTTTTCATTTATGGATACGTTTTTGGACTGGCAATCTTCAGTATACCTTGTGCTTTGAATTCTTTTCAAATCAATCAACTATGTAGACAGTTAAAATCAAATACAGAGCAGAACTGAAAAAATTGTGAGTTGCATACATTAAGAACTTATTTTTCTTTAAAAATGTATCTTCTATAAATAGCTTTAAATGAATGTATACTAGTATATGATATCTCTATGTTCTGAGAAAAATAATTAAATTGAAGGTAAGAAAACTTGATTTCCTTGATTGCATTTTTCAGTAAAAATCCGAATCTAAATTGTATGTATTTATTAAAATAGTGTTTCTCAATAATGAAATATTATAGTTATCATAATAACTATATCAAATATGGAGTTGGGACTCTCAGAACAGCAGACCTAAAAATATGTGGGCATTCCACTTAATTTTTCATATAAAAATAGATTTTTATAGTGTCATTTACGATTCTTGTTTATTCTTGCTCTGTTTAAAAATTTAGAACACTGAGAAGGTCTGAAAATGTAAAATTTTAACAAAATACAAGTTATTTCACATAGTAAATATTATCTAAAGGGTCATTTTCTTACATTAGAATCTCAAAAGGAAAATGTATCCGTGCATAGAAAATGTGACTGGATCCAGGGTCACACCTGCTGCCCCAAGGGTGCCATGGCCGTTCTCTTATTAGCTTCCCTCCTGGGCTGCTTTCCTTGCATGATGACTTCCAGCATCTACAGACCTGGTTCCCTGCAGCTTCCTGTCTGCCAAAACAATGACTTGTTTTTAGCAAAGAACTCACTGGCATAGATTAGGTTAAATGCCCACTCCCGAGACAGTCCTTGTGGGGAGAGAGATGTCCACTCTGCCTGCCCAGAACCAGACAGTATGACTCTCCCAGAGCTGGTAAAACCAGAGAAAGGGAGAGGATAGGAGCAGTGGACAAGTGACTTGCCTGAACCCTATGGTCTAAGACAGGGGTGGCCAACCTTTTGGCTTTCCTGGGTCACATCAAGTAAAGAGAAACTGTCTTAGACTGCACATAAATTATATAATACAGCTAGTGCATACACATAAAAAGACTTATTTTTTATATATTTTATTATAATATTTAGAAAAATGAGAACAATATAAAACTAGTGGGAAATTTTACCTTGCATTTGTAAGACTAATTATCAATGTCTGCTTCAATGGAATTGGTTGCAATCCTTAATGAATTCTCAAGGTGATCGTCAGAAATGTTTGTTCGAATTTTATTCTTTGTGTGCTTCATAATTGAATATAGCTGCTCACAAATGTTCAAGCTGCCAAAAAGAGATGTCACAAATAAGACATGATCGTAAACTTCAAAAATGGAACCACACATGAGGTCACAGAGAAAGTACATGCCAAAACGCTAATGATATTCAAAGATTTAGTGGGGCCACATCACTAGCTGTCCTGAGTTGGATATGCCTGGTCTAAGACAAGGAGACGCAAAATTTCCAAAAGGAAAATTATGCATTTATTCCCAGAGAGTAAAAGAATGGAGGTTGAGCTGGGAAAATCAATAGGCACCATAGAGGAAGATGACTAAGGAGAGAGCAAAAGAATTGTGTTTAATCTTCTGTATTAGTCTCCATACTATCATGGTTCCTATAAGAGGCCTAGAGTCACGGTTTTCCAACTGTATGTGTCATACTGGATAGGATATGATAAAAGAGAGGAAAAGAATATGAGTAGAAAATACAGGAGGCATCTCATGCATATGTGATTGTAGTCCCCCTCAATATAAAATATATTTCTTTTGTGAATCACGCTGTAAAAGTTTCAAAAGCTACTTGACATCTATTGCCTCTAGACTTGCTTAGTTTAGAAATTTCTGACTACAAGCCTTAAGTCTATGGTTAAATTCAAACTTACCAGCACTTCCAATTAGATCCTGCTACACTTTGGGGCTCAACGTGCTGGGTGTAAATTGAAAGAGGATAAACTGGTAAATTCCTGGATTTACATTGCGTGCTAGTAATTACATGTGAATTAGACATTATTTAAAAACTAAATGTGGAATGGGCATGGTGACTCACACCTGTAACCCCAGCATTTTGGGAGGCCAAGGCAGGATCATTGCATGAGGTCAGATGTTCAAAATCAGGCTAAGCAGCAAAGTGAGACCCAGGATCCATTTCAAGGAAGGAAGAAAGGAAGGAAGGGAGAGAAGGTCTGAGGGAGAGAGAGAGGGAGAGAGAGAGGGAGGGAGGGAAGTCGCACCATTAGCTCTCCTGGGTCTCCAACTTGCCAACTGCGTATCTCAGAACATCTCAGCCTCCATAACTGCATGAGTTAATTGCTTATCAATCTCTTTTAAAAAATTCAACCTGAGAAAACTGATTGAAAAAAAATCTAAAAAAAAATCTCAGATTTGTGTATACCTGTGGTCCTAGCTGCTGGGGAGACTGAGGCTGAAGGATCACTTGAGCCTGGGAGCTTAAGTTTGTCCTGTGATATAATCATGCCACTGCACTCCAGCCTGTGTGATGGAGTGCAACTCTGTCTCTAAAAAATAATAAAATCTGCCGGGCTCGGTGGCTCAGCCTGTAATCCTGCGCTTTGGGAGGCTGAGGTGAGTGGATTGCCTGAGCCCATGGGTTCGAGACCTGCCTGGGCAACTTGGCAAGACCTCATCTCTACAATAAATCAAAAAAATCAGCCGGGCATGTTAGCGCATGCCTGTAATTCCGACTACTCAGAAGCCTGAGGTGGAAGGATCGCCGGAGCCCAGCAGGTCGAGGCTGCGGTGGCCGGGAGCGGCCACTGCACTCCAGTCTGGGCGACAGAGTGAGACTCCAACTAAAAAAAAAAAAATAAAATAATAATAATAATAATAATAATAATAAAATCTAAATGTATAAATTCAAGTAAATTTTTCTTTGCCTCTAGAGAGAGAGAGAGAGAGAGAGAGAGAGTGAGAAAGAGAGAGAGAGTGTGTAGAAACTGGACTTAGATCAACAGCTTTCAAATGTTTTGCTCCTGTACCCACAAAATAACTTTTATTACGATGTATCCTTTGTAATCATTGAGTAAGAGTATCAGAGGATTCAAATAAACTCTGAAATTCTGGTTTAACACAGTAGGTTTTCATTTCCTCTGCTCACACAAGAATCCAGTGTTGGTTTTCAGTGAGTAGCTACTCCTAAGTTGCTTTAGGATCCTTCAGCTTCTTGTCTCCACTGTCTAGAGCACAAGTGTCCAACCTTTTGATTTCCCTGGGCTTCATCAAGTAAAGAGAAATTGTCTTGGGCTGCACATAAATTATTGAATACAGGTAGTGTATATGCATAATAAGACTTCTTTCACTTTTTATATTTTTCATTATAAAATTTAGAAGAATAAGAACAATATAAAACTAGCAGGAAATTTGATTTTGTTTTATAAAACTAATCTACCAATGGCACAGTGGAAGTGGTCACAATTCATGGTGAGTTCTCAAGATGCTCATCAGAAATGCTTGTTCGAATTTTGCTCTTCGTGTGCATCATGATTGAATACGGCTGCTCATAAATGTACGCGCTGCCAAAAAGTGATGTCATGCGCGCTGCCCAAAAGTGATGTCATGAATAAGGCGTGATCATGAACTTTAAAATTGGAACTTTAAAAATGGGGTCATGGAGAAAACAGTCACTAAAAACACAGGATGGTAAAAGATTTCATGGGGTCACATTACTAGCTGT